CTGCAGCTGCGGTGGCATGTGGGCAAGACATCGACGTCCCCGAGATTATATTATAGAGCGTCGACCTTGAATCTCTGATTCCGCTGGAGACCGGAGCATCGGGAGGCCATGCGGCGAGAATTTCAACTCCAGGAGCAGTCAAATCAGGCTGCATGCATGCAAGTTGATGAAGACAAATGATCTTAGCAAAATGTTACAGAATTGAACAAACCAATTGAAAACAAGCAGAGGAATGTAACCTTGAGAATGTCCAAGGTTTCAGGATTGGGTCCTCTTGAGGAGAAGGAAACGACTATAGGAGCAGATGTATCGTTCACTGCATTGCTCTTGAAAATCGTTGCAGTCGGAAAGCTATCGATTCACAAATCAAGCCAAGTCAATATCCGAATATATAGTGCTAGTAAAACTATTTAATATGGATGTTGAAACGTACTTGTTTGATCCCATGTAGGTTTTGATGTTGTTACCAGCCACTGTGCCGAGGTAGGAAGAAGGCAAGGGATAGGACCTTGCGTTATCTTTCACGCCAGCATCATTCATAACAACGCCAACCGCGCTACTGAAGGACGCAAATGTTGAAGGAGATACTATGGAATCGCAAACAAGGATTTTTCCTTTCACCAAGTTGCGATCGACTGAATTCCTCGAACAAAATCTGTTTTAAATCATGTGTGAAATATTGGTAAAAGAAACCCTACAACTTTTGAGGATCATTAAGAGGAAGATCACGGGTTTATAAATAAGAACACTATCTCCACTAACACGAGGTTTTTTGAAAAAATCAAAAGAAAAGCCATCAGGGTTTACGCTTAAAGGGGACAATATCATACTATTGTAGAGAGTCGTAATTCCTAACATGGTATGAGAGTCATGTCTAAACTTCGTCAAGTCAATAGAATCCTCAAATGTGAAACAAAGAAGTTGAAACCCTCGAAAGTGTAGTCAAAAGTGACTCAAGTGTCGAACAAATAGTGTACTTTATTGGAGGGCTCCAAATAAGAAGTGGGCTCCATAGGCCTCAAGGGAGAATTTATGGTGTACTTTGTTCGATGAGAGAATTGTTGATGATTATTAAGCGGAGTAGTCCACGTTGACTAATGAAGAGGAACATCACAAGTTTATAAACAAAGAACATTAGTTATAGTGAACAATATCATACCATTGTGAAACGTCATGATTCATAACAAGAACTTAATTACCTGGAGGTAGCACCAGTGAAGCCTCCAGAGATATTGGGTGCATTCCCGGCATAAATTAGGGGAAATTGTTTTTGTTGAAGATCAAACGTGTTAATCGTAAATCCCTGCCCCCAAAATTTTTTTTTTTTTTGTTAATTATCGTGAAACCAAAGGAAGATAGGAACATAAGATAAAAAGTATGACCTGAAAGATATTATTGTTGCCAAGCTGCACTTTTGATACCAACTTTCTGTCGATGGAGCTTGCAGCCACAGAAAGAGACCATGGAGAGAAATTTCTGATGGTGAGGAAGTCAGGGCCATCATTCCCAGCGGAGTTGGAGGTCAATATTCCATTCTTCATGGAATGGAAAGCTCCAATGGCAATTGAATCGTTGAAGTAAAACTTGGGTTCATTCCCCCCAACTGAAAGAGATATGATATCGACACCATCGGCAATTGCGTCGTCAAATGCAGCAAGAATATCGGCATCCTCGCACCCATCCGACCAACATATCTTGTACACAGCAATGCGCGCGGAAGGAACCCCTCCTCTAGCTGTGCCAAGCGCAAGACCGAATAAACTTGCCTGGCTCACGAGACCACCGGCCACAGTCGATGCCGTGTGTGTCCCGTGGCCTTCTGAATCTCTTGGACTTTTAAAGTCTTCGGGAGGAAAATTGTTGTCACTGCGGTATGCTCGAGCTCCGATGATTTTTCTGACAATTAGTTCGAACCATCTTTAACGGTGAAATACTAAATCTATATATTTAACGACAAAGTTTTATTAGTGTTTACTTGTTGCAACGGAAGTTGGTTGAGGTTTGGCAAGCGCCCTTCCATTTAGCTGGTGGAGGGCCATAGCCTACGTCATTAAAGCTAGGAGACTCCGGCCAGATTCCTGTGTCCAAAACTCCCACTACTATGTCGCTTTCAACTTGTTTTACACGAGGAACATTCGTAGTAAAACCCATGAAATCCCATGATCTTGTCGTATGAGGATGCTTCTTTTCGTTTGGAAACACAGAGACAACACCCTCCTTAGCTGAAATATGTCAAATTATACATTCAGTCCGTGTGAAATCCCACGTCTATTGGAAAGGAGAATAAAACATTCTTTATAAGGTCGTGGAAATCTCTCCCTAATAGATGTCTTTTAAAAACATTAAGGAAAAGTGTTACAGAGGACAATATCTGTAAGCAGTGAGTTTGAGTAGTTACAAATGATATCAGAGTTAGACACAAGGCGATGTACGAGCGAAGGGGGTGGACACGAGGCAGTGTGCCAGTAAGGACACTAGCCCCAAAGGGGGTGAATTGTGAGATCTCACATCTGTTGGGGAAGAGAACAAAACATTTTTTATAAGTGTATGAAAACCTCTTCCTAGTAGACGTGTTTTAAAAACCAGAAAACACAAGAAAAAACAATATTTGTCAGCAGTGAGTTTGAGTTGTTACAGTTTCGAAAGCTAAGAATTTAAAGACGTCGGAATAGTCATAGGTACCAGAAATCTTTTGAGCTTCTTCTTCGGTGAGCCTAACCACGAATCCATTGAAACTTCTCTTGTAGCTATGGAGCAAAGCTTCAGGAGCGAACGTGCTAACAACACGAAAATCACAGAAATTAATGCATGAAACTTTCTTGTTCATAAGAAAAAAAGAAAAAAAAATGAAAGATGATGAACCTTCCAATCGTTTCTTCCAACATTCTCGTATGATGTGAAGGAGTTGAAGCCGTATCCTCCCGCTTGTTTCCCAAGTACACAATATAAACCTGCAAGGTTTCATTCAACAAAATTTTATACCATAGAAACCAAATATACATTTCAAACTCGAATGTGCTATACCTTTCGGCCATCGTTACCAGAATCGAAGCTAGAAGCAAGCAAACAACAAACAAGGTTTAGAACGACGAGCTTGAAGATCAAAGAAGAAGACGCATTATTTCCCGCCATGATCATGACTGGAAACATAAATATGATCCGCTTAGGAAGGGCCTTTATATACAAAGCTTGAAGAAAGTCATATCTCCAACCACTGAACTTTCTGGGAAGCAGAATGGTATAATTCAACATTAAAAAAAGACCAAGTTGTAGCAGCTGACCCTTTCAGCCCTATTGCCTTCAAACAATCATACCTCCAAGAACTTCAACTTCTTGAGCATATTGAAGTAGACAACTTGTTTTAATATGGTTTGATTTGGTCGAAATCGGTGTCAGCTTAACCATTTGGCATGCCGATGTCTCCTTCTTAGCTTAGTCATCCCGTTGATACCTTCATCGTAAGATTTCGGTATTCTCGTACGATTTAGCTACAACACTATATTGTATCTCAAATTGGTTGTAAGAGTGACCAAAACACAATGTTTTACCTTCAATCGTAAATTTTATGAAAGAATATGACCAAAACCCGACCAAAACATATATGATCTCACATAAAACTCAACTAACCCCTAAAAAACTAATTCTTCCAATGTATGTCGTTATAATAATAATAATTTAAATGGTATGTCCATTTAATAATATTAAGAGACGCCTAATAAAATAAAATAAAAATGTATATATTATACTAAAATTTAATGTCAAATAAGATAGCGTGTTTTTCTTAATAACTTAATTTTAAATATTATTTAGTAGAATTAGAAAAATTTAAGAAACTAAATATTATTTCCAAGAGTTGACTTATAAAATTATAATTTTGGTCTTTATAGTAATCGTCGATAAAAGAAATTTAGTAAATTAATTTTATAAAAAGTCATTTAATTCTGTTACAGAAAAGTTATGACTAAATAATCCAATCAACCAGCTTAAAGTGACATGTATATATAAAACTGTATATTATATTACTAATTATATTAAAAAATATAATAGTTATAGTCAATATTATTTAATATGAATATTTTATTTCAATGCGTATGACATTATATTTGTATAAATTTAATGGATTACCGTTCGAGTTTGGTTTACTTTTAGTTCCTAATTTTTAAATTTATTTTGATTTTGTCGTCATTACCATTTCGAAATTTATAATATCTTCATGTTCGTTTTGACGCTATAATTTTCGAAGTTAAGATTGATTTTTGGTCAAACTATAATGAAATTTAATTCTTATAATTTTGAAAGTCGAAAACTTTTAAATTTAAAAGTTAATAAGTTTTTTTTAATAGAATATAGTAAATTCTTAAATTAATTTTTAAATATTAAATTTTGTATCTATTCAATATTTTAAAAGTTTATAAACTTATTTGATAGTAAAAATGCCCGTATAGTATTAAGATTAAGAATCATAAGGTTAGCGATGAAATGATGATGTTCTAGAATTTGTTTTGATTGGAGATGTACACGAGGCAGGGTAGGGACGAGGAAGCTTTATTCTTCCTTATTCTAACTACTTATTTCATTCTTCGTCTCCGTAAAATTATCTATTTATTTAGTTCGATTATTCACAAATAATTATTCTCTATCTATTTTTTAAAAAAATATAATTGTTTTAAAGTTTTTATTTTCTTCGGCATAATCTTTATTAAAATAATTTTTAAAAATCATATTAAATCAAAATATTACACAAACAAATATATACAAGATTATACCAACATAATTTTTAAAAAATTTAAAATTTAAAAGTACAACGGTTAAATAATAATAAAAAAAAAAGCAACGCATAATCTTTAATTTAAATATTATAAAAATTAATTAATTAATTTTTTAAATATATATATATATATATATATTATTATTATTATTTTTTAATATAGGTTTAAAATATATTTATATTAAGTATAATCTCTGTCTCCACTTATATTCTTACTCCCGACTCCATTCCCGGAAAGGGAGAGCCCCGTTTGGGCGGGTCACGTCCTCGCAGCTGGCATCTCTAGTTATGACGCTAACGGACAACGTATGGCGCGTTTCTGTCTTCCCGGGGCTTTCAATTTAACGCAGGGTTTTAGCAAAGCTATGAGATTCGAAACCTAGAACAGGACAAATTCCTTGGTTCCAAGTTCTGATCTCTATCGGATTTGAGATTTTTGTTAACGGAGGAGAGGGTTGAAGAGGGATTGGTTCATTTTGCCATGCAAACGGAGGCTAGGGTTGGTGTAATGATGGAAGGAAGGCAGAGAGCTCTCAGTTCTGGTCATGGTGGAGTGGTTTCTGTCGCTCCGAAAAACCATCATCGCTTCAGCAATCGCAGATTCGGACGGTGTCACAGCTTCAATCTAATGGCGTTGCTGGTGCTTTTAGTAAGACCTGCACGGCGCCACTCGCCCGCCTCACGATTCTCTTTCAGGTTTCGTTATTCGAAATAAAACAAAAAAGAGAAGTACATTGTAACAAACACGTCCTCAACTGTGCCTGTGTCCTGATTTCTTAAAAACTGGTATATTGGCCTGTCAATTTAGTGTTATGTTCTTGTCTCTGTTGTCATTTTGGGTTGCTGTCATTCTGTCTAGGCTATAATGAGTTTGTACGGCTTGTGCTTTTTATTCTTCATTGATGGGTGTATAATTGCCTTGTTAATTGTTACCATATCAGGTGCAAGGGATGCACTCTTGGCACGAGGCTTCACGAATTGCTCTTGAAGAAGGAATAAGAGCTTTCTGTTACAATTGCTCATCGTCTGCCTTATTCTTCTATCAATTTCTATGCATATGAGCACTACAAAAAGGTTGGTGTTATCCATTTTATAAATAAATACCATCATAGAGATTCATATGTAGAGTTATTATCCGTTTGATTTTCTTTTTCAGTTGCCTTGAGCTTAACTAATTGTTTATATGTTATGTAGTTACTACACATGATCCCAGGTTTTGAACTTCATAGGGATCACGTGAGTGCGTTGTTAGTTCACTTCCTGGGTGGTGGCTTGGCAGGTTTTACGGCAGCATCAACTACATATCCCCTAGACCTTGTAAGGACTCGCCTTGCTGCTCAGGTGAGACCATATGATTTGCAACTTCTTGTAAACAACTATTTGTTACAATTAATTTTGTATGATGGTTAACCTTGAGCAGTAGTTTTGATTTGTCATTAGACTGATCTTAAATTCCATGAGCTTGGCAGTGTGTGATCTTCCCATTTTCACTTGTTTGCCGCCAGACAGGCTCATTTGCGATGACATCTGTGGTCTTATACATTCATATCTGATTTTGCTTGATTTGTTCATCCTTTATTTAAGCCATCTTTTGAATGAATCAGCATAATTTTAGATCATATGTTAGCATTGGCACTTGTGTGCTTTGCAGACGCAAGTGATCTATTACAAAGGTATTTGGCATACTTTGCGAACAATTTGTAGAGATGAGGGTTTTCTAGGTCTTTACAAGGGACTTGGAGCAACAGTACTGGCATGGGTTTCTGAGTTGTTATATTAGGAATACAAGCACTGTTTTGAAAATATAGCTCAACAAATTCTGTCTTCGATGCAGGGTGTCGGTCCCAACATCGCTATCAGCTTTTCAGTGTATGAAAGCTTGAGGTCCTTCTGGCAGTTCGTAGGTAAGAATGTTCAAATTAATCCATCAATTCCATATTTTCACCTTAATTTATTTTTTTATTTTTTTATGTCAACTTATAGAAATGTTGCATAAAATTGGTTTTAGTAGAAGTCTTCCCGAGCATTGCGGTGGGTTATAGTGGAGTTTGACACTATTAATCATATACATAGACTAGAATATCATTTTCAGGTGTTAGAGGTGCCCCATCTGAGGTATGCTTCTCACTTGGGCTCTCTTTTACTTTTGTTGGATTTGTCACTCCTTGAGGCCTCAGTAGTACATCTTTGTCTCTTTGAGGACTTCGTCATGTCTATTAATATGTGTATTAGAATATACTAGTTCTTGTGGAAACTTAGTGATGATGCAAACGAACTAGCTGGGCATGATTGCATTTTGCTCTTCTAATTTGAAACTGACGTGGTTGATTCTTGTTTAGTGCTCTGTGCATATGTCGGTTTGTTTTTGAAGCATAAGATTTAAAATTAAGCATATCAAAATAGTAAAACGAACAGCTTGGTTTATATATTGTTGCCCCTTCAGTTTGCCGTGACCTTCCCTCTGGACCTAGTGAGTAGGCGGAAGCAGTTGGAAGGAGCCTGTGGCCGAGCACGGGTGTATACAACAGGCCTTATTGGTGTTTTCAGGCACATATTGAGGACAGAAGGCTTCCGTGGTTTCTATCGGGGGGTATTTTGTCCAAGTATTACAAGGTTGTGCCTGGGGTGGGCATTTGCTTCATGACATATGAAACACTTAAGAGCCTTTTAGCAGATACAAATGGCTGAAATGACTTGTGGATAGAAATGGGATTTCGTGGCAAATAACAAAGCGAATTTGTTGGTGGGAATCCTCATAATTCTGTACTTGAGATTGATAGGAACACTAAATTGACCTCTAGACAGTCAAAAGTAATAGCATTATATGAGTTAAAAACCTTTTTAAGAATTAAGATAATATGAGTACAAAAGCATATGATTAGCATATGATTAAAATAAAATTTAAAAACTTTTAGACAAGAATGTGGTTGAAAAAGAGGTAACAAAAAAGAAAAATAAAAGAATGAAAAAGTAACCAGAAGAAAGCAAAAGAGTGGAAACTTGTAATGCCAAGTTAGAAGAAGAAATACATGTTGCTTTTGAACCAGATCTATCTAAAACTCTCTATATTGAGCTCAATCTGGTAATAGAAATCATGTCTTCCCACATCAAACCATCTAGACAGCGTGTTTTTATTATATAGGGAAACTTCCAGTCATGCGTATATGGTCGAGTGTCCGACGCAACCCATATTTATTCACTGCAACATTAGCAGCTCTGAAACCATCCCCATAAACTTTTGAAGGACTGTTTACTATTTGGTACATGAAAAACTCGCCCAGTTTCTTTTCCGTAAAAGAATTACCACCTTTCTTTGATGATGAAGAGTAGTGAGACGAGGAAGAGGAAGAAGATGAGGACGCAGCTGATGACGAAGGTCTTGATCTAAACCCTGACATTACTTCAGATTCGAGCCACATGTAGGAAAGCACTTGACAGATACCTTCTTCCACCTCTAGGTTAATGTTGCGATATCCTAACATAATTTCCAGTTTTATCAGTATTCAAGGTAAGCAATGGATTAAGATTCATATAAATAGAAAGGGAAGAAGATGGAGCTTCACCCTTTAGCCATAACCAGCTATGCATCAACTCGTGTGCCAGAATAGATCCTGTTAGTAATCTGTAAAAGCTAGAGCATAAAAATGGTGGATGGCAAAAATAAATGTATGCTCGACTATTGACAAAGTTAATTTTATCTCCCACTTGAGATATAATCATACAAATTTTAAAATCATGGATGAATGTTTCAGAGTACGAAAAATAGAATGGTTACCTTGGGAAACCAAAAAGAACAAAAATGGCTATAACTTCAGAATTACGAATCAGCTTCTGCCGTTGAGTTCTCATTCCTACAAGTCTATGCCCTTCAATTTTTGGTCTCTTGACGATCTGAACATGATTAAGAACAAGTACTCTAAAATTTTGAATAAAAAAATAAGAATATTTTAACTCCACAAAAACATACACTTGTGATATGTTATACTTCAGAAAGGCATACACCTCTAGTCTCAGGCATGCGACGGTTTCCCTGTAAAGAATAAGTATTGTTTAGAGGAATTGATTTGTAGTTAAGAGGAATTGGTTTCTAGTTTTTTTTAGGAAGAAGAAAGGGAAAGTTTATTACATGTTTCTCCTCAACAATAGCTTCATTTAGAACTTGTCTTTCAACTAGAAACATGGGAATTTGCTGATCTATTCTCATGTTCATTCCCTCGTAATAGTCTCGAATGGAGTGGTAGAGCAGTTGACAGTCTCCGGTGTCCATGATAGCAGACTCCATACATTCTAGGCACAGGCTCCGCCCGTCACCCAAAGAGATATTTCTTGCATTCCAAGACTAAAAATTATATGGAATTGTAGTCAGCACTAGAGGGAGAAACCTCAACCTCGTCCAAACTCGATATGGAGGTAAAAAATTAATGACTTGGGAATTGATCTCAAGTATTTTAATTGATACCTCCAAACGTCTGCAACTACAACAATAGGCTGTCTTGTCAAGTTCATGTGATAGACAATACTTCTGAGACCAAAAGTGACTACATCTGTGTACAGTCAAACCAGCTCGATTTGTAGGGATCTGAAAGTTGAGGACTGAATAATCAAGACGATCTATTTGATCAAAGATAAATGATGGATCTAAGTTCTTTCAAACTAGCTAATGCAAGATACTAATATTGTTGTTTCTCACAATCTACCAGAAACATGATATACAGAAAGTAATGAGCCATGAAGACAACAATGAAAGTCTTACAAATTGGTGGCAGACTTCACACTTAGGATGGGTCAGCTTTTTGAAACAAGACTGGTGATATGGATAATTCCCAGACATTGAAAACTTGAATCAACAGAGAAAAAAGTAACTGGTGAGAAACTACATACAGATGCTCGACATTGTTCTTAAGCGATAAATTAGTGCATGTAGCCTTGAACTTGAATGAGAAGGAAAAAGGAAACTGAATGGGAAGCATAATTAGGAGAAGAAAAGCATTGCTAGGATCTTGTGACCAAAGGAAAGATAGAATATTAGAATACCCCGTGCTCGGTAAGTGGAAAGCTGCAGGAACGACAACAAACGCACCCAGGATGGAAGTAGGTGCCCATGTATCCCAAATAATTTCCATAGTCGATTGCAGCAACGACAATATTTGAGACGTGGAAGGCGTGATTATGCCTATATCAGTTAAACGATTAGGAGACCATTATATGAACTAAAATCTCGGATTCCTATGTTTCAAATAGGAATTTTTTGTCTAGTTAAGCTAAAGTCATGTACAAGTGATTGGATTCAAAAGATAATTGAATAAGATTCGTTTGCTAATATGATACAGTCATACAGATGAATAAGATGACATTATTACCTATAGTCACCAAGAAGAAACTGAGGAGGGGCAACGTAAGGATAAGGCGATAAAGTCATCTTGCCCTGCAGTTCTCTAGAAATTGCTTCATCATTTTCTGTATGCCAACAATATCCAGACGAACAAAAAGAAGAATGCATCAGATGATTCAGTTAGAGAGAAGAGTTAAAGAGCGAAACATTTAAAATCCAAGTTTAGTTAGCAAATCATACGGTTTTGCCTTTTGAAATCTTCAGCTAAGGAGAGTGCAATTGCATGGTCTAGTTCTTCTTTCTCCTTCTTAGCTCTAGAAGGATCGTCCTGTTCAAATAACAACTCGATAAAGAACCATTATCATTCAAAGTAAGTTCTTCCCCAACTATTTAAGTGAAACAGAATTCCTTATTCGTCCTGTTTTACTCTATGATGGGCTTGCTTAAACACAACCCCTTGCCTACTTACCTTACAATCACCCAAGGAATCATGGTTCAAAGATTGTTCAAGTACTAAACCTGTTAAAAAAATGAATGAACATACCACTGATTGAATAATAATCAAGTTGGTTTCTGTTCAAGTCAGTAAAGACCAACTAAGCGATTGTTGGATCAATATACTTCTGTGACTATGATCGCCATCAGAAACTTTAGTTCGTTCCAAAGGGAAAAAGAAAAAAGGTTTTCAGCTTCCAGTAAGCTATGTGGATAAAGAGCAAACAAATTATTATCCCAAAATCACCAAAAAGTGAAAAAGTCAACCAACATCAGCCAGTTACATCATATGCTTTGTCCTGTAATATATCAAACCTCGTTACAAAAGTTGAAAATCTCAATGATAAGCTAATCAAAGAAGATCAAATTCAATAGAAGGTGGGGGAAGGAAAAACAGAAGTTGACCGTTGATCTAGCCGGAGCTCGCCAGACTATGTTCTCCTGATCACCAAGAAGCTGCTGTGGAGGGCTGCCGCCACTGCCACTGCCGCCGCCTCCCCTGTTGGGTCCTGGCCGGACAATTTTGCTCAACCATTTCATCCACCCAGATTTTTTCTCTGCATATGAGGAAGAAAAAGAAATCGATGAGGAAAAATCCCAACAGACCCAAAATCCCAAATACTGCAGTTCCTTAAACCCTCAAATCAAAAATCAAAATGAAGGGTCAGGGAGATTACTCCAGTGGGTTCATAAACAAAAACGATGGAAGTGTCTAGAAATGAAGAATTAGAAATACCGGAAATGCAAGGATGAGATAGATCCATGGAACTCGATAAAGGGTTTTTGGTTGTATATCAATTGGCGGAACACGATCCAACAGAAGAGGGGTTGAGAAACCTAAAAGGACCCAGAGAGAGAGAGGGAAATAAGGGGTTGGAAGAAAAGGGATTGAAGAACAATGAATTAGGCATCGTTAAAAGCAGCACGGAGAGAGAAGAGGAAGAGGAGAATCTCTAAGAGAGAAAGGAAGTGATGGGAAATTCTCGGCCTGGGAAAGCAATGAAGAAGAAAAAAAACTGGAGGGGAATCTCCAAAGGCGAAGATCGATAAAGCAACGGTGGAAGAAGAAGGGCTCATCAAATGGGGGCATAGAAGAAGGCATCTTTTAGGAAGTGTGAGCGCCCAAGTTCTTTTTACAGAGAGAGAGAGAGATTTGAGATTGAAAACGGGATTGAACACGCTTTGGATTGGAACTCGAAGGAGTTTTTCCCTTTCCCTCTAACAGCTTAAATCGATTTTGCTTTGCGTTTTATACAGCGCGCGAAAAAGGAAAATCTTTGCGCGGTGAGAACAGAGAAGTGGTTGATATACTCTTAGGATATTCTTCCAATTTCTTCTTTTGTATTGCCCGTCTTTCTTCTTCTTCAACAAACAGAGATTTATTTTTTCATGAGACTTATAATCCAAGCAAGGGCAAAGAAAGACGTTGCCAAAGCTGTTTTTGCGAATTAAACCCTTTAACATGCTATAACCTTATACGGTTGACCTCATAGGTTGAATTGGACTTTGAATAGCATATTCAAGCTAGTACCAAATATAATTAGTACATCATCCCAAGTCAACCAAGTAAGCGGTTCTATTGTTGGACGTCCACAAACTTGGTTGAATAACTTGTATGTTGTATGAATGACACGTATCTTGTGGCCCCATGTACGTGTCATATTTTAGGATGTTATGATGTTTGATATGTGATATGTCGATTTATGCTATGATATGAATTATGCTATGTTATGAAACTATTTTGTGATACCAATTTTATATGATGCATAAAACATCCTCATGTCATACCACATATATTAGGTTAGTATGTTTACTCTATGCTTATAAGATATTGATAAGGCATGTTAACGATGAAAGACAAGTTTAGTATATGCATATATGTCTTTTAAGACTTTGGCCTAGAATAGAGGCAAGGTCAAGCAAATTGACTTGGCCTAGAGTAGAATCGAGTTAGATAGAGCCGCAGACGATTGAACATGCATACACAGGTAATGTGTGTGGCCGAACAAACTTAGATTTTTTGTTATGTTTGGTTAACGGTAGGGAACCTCGCCTAAGGTCACATGAAGCTACAAAGTCGGGCACAAAAAAAAAAAAAAAAAA